AAGTAGGGTGTGCCTGGAACTACAGGCACATGCCACCATGCTCAGCTAATTTTTGTATTTTTAGTAGAGATGGGGTTTCACCATGTTGGCCAGGATGGTCTTGATCTATTGACCTCATGATCTGCCCGCCTCAGACTCCCAAAGTGCTGGGATTACAGGCGTGAGCCACTGTGCCCAGCCCATTATATATTATTTTAGAAGGTGGTAAGGAATGTGGTATATGCTATGGAAAAGAAGTAGGGCAAGATAAAGGGGATTGGAAGTACTCAGGGAAAATAGAGCAGTTTGAAATTTTAGATACGTGATCAGGATTGATTTTTGTTTTTTTGAGACAGGGTCTTGCTCTGTTGCTGGAGTGCAGTGGCATGATCATGGCTCACACTGCCACCTCAACCTCCTAGGCTCAAATGATCCTCCTGCCTCCCAAGTAGCTGGGACTACAGGTGTGTGCCACTAGTTCTCTACAAAAAAACATATTTTGTATTATTTGTAGAGATGAGGGTTTGCGGTGTTGCCCAGGCTGGTCTGGAGCTCCTGCTGCCTTCACCTCTGAAAGTGCTGAGATTACAGGTATCAGCTGCCATGCCTGACTGGCTTTTTTTTTTTTTTTTTTTTTTTTTTTTTTTTTAAGGTGACAACCGAGCAAAGTCATGGAAAAGTAAGGGAAAGAGCTGCGCAGGTATGTGAAGAAAAGATTCTAGGTGAACTGAAAGCCAACACGAAGGCCATCAATAAATTGCTGGTGTGTTCCAGCAAACGCAGTTGGTCACTGTGGAAGAAATGGCGTGAACAAGGGAGAAAGCAATGGGAAATAGTACGAGGAGAAAAAGCCAGATTACGTAGAGCCTCCAGGACATGGTAAGTGCTTTGGCTTTTCTACCGAGTGAAACGGGGGCTGCAATAGGGGTTTGAGCAGATGAGTGACATAATCTGACTTACATTTTAAAAGATCATAACTGTGGGCGGGAGCAGGAAGGTGAATTAATCTATTGCAGGAGGTGACAGTGGCTTTGACCAAGGTGGTGACAGTGGACGCTCCAGGCAAACGGTGTCAAAAGCCAAGGTGCAGACATGGAAATTTCAGTGCAAGGCCCGTATCAGAACTATGAGCAAGCCATTTGTCTTCCTAACCGGGGAGGAAGGAAGACAAATGACAGCTGCCATTTATTGATGATTCACTATGTGGCAAGCATTGTGCTAAATTTGATATTCAGGTGACCTCGTTTAGTCTCCATAACAACCTTGTAAAGAAATTTAGAATTGAGAGCCTTTCATACAGTTACCTGCCTAAAACCTAGCCCACCTGGCATTGTAACCCAGGCGGTCTGATTCCAGCCGTTCATTCTAGGCCAGCACTAAGGCTAGAAGGGAAACTTGAGGCCAGGTTGTGGAGGGCCAAGAGGTTTTGCCTGCTTTGAAATTTACCTTCTGGATGGTTCCCCCGCGTCCCCACATTTGAGCGACAGGACACCTCCGGAACTGCAGCTCAGCAACGGGGTTCAGCGCGAGCGCAGGGAGGGTCGTCGCCTCCTCCGGCGGGCGTGTCGGGAGAAACGCCGCCCGCCTGGTCCCCGGTGGCTGGCGGTGCGCCTCTGCAGGAAGGGCGTGTCTCTCCGCTGGAGGATCCTCCCTGCAGATTAACAGGAGGCTCAGCAGGGCCTTAATTAGAGATCGCAGAGGATCGACAGCGAGTGTCCTGCGGCGAGGTGCCTGGATTCCACACAGAAGCTGGAGGCAGCGTCCAGCTAACAGACCACTGCAGCTCGACGGAGCCAGAGCGGGGCAACGGGGAGAGATGTCGGGGAGGGAAAGGGGATGGGACTTGGGGGCTGAACGACTCTCTTCCTGTGCCTCCTCCCTGCGTCCTCGGGAGCTGACTGGCGGCTGCACAGCCCGCGAGCCCTCAGAGCTGCCGTGCAGCACCGTGGCCGCGAGGGGGCAGGCCCGCCTCATCCGGAGCCCCGGCCACTGTTCACTCCATGGAGGGCGGAGCTGCTGCTTAAATTCCAAGTCAGGCCAGCCCTGGAAGGCTTCATGGGAGCTTGGATTTAGAACAGCTGATCTCCATTGAGACGGAAATTTGGACGGTCTTCCATTTGATTGAAAACGGCTAGAAACAGGGTTTACGGTATTGCAGAGTGCAGGCGCCGGTGCCCAGGCGGCCCGGGGAACAGGAGGGCCGGAGGAGGAAACAGCTGCGTGCAAGACACCAGCAGCGGCCCTTAACGGGTGCTGGGCGGGGGGACTGTGCTTTCCGAAACTCCCAGCGTCCTTTCCCTGCTTGCCCAGGGCCATTCCATTACACCGTTTGTTACGTTTTTCCGAGTCCCAGGTCTGAAATGGAAAGGGGTGTTACCCTAGATGCCCTGAGAGAGCCGGGCCACAGAGACCTCGCACAGGATAGCAGCGGAGCAGGTGTGTGTGCGTGTGCACGCGTGCATGCTGTGAGAGTGTGCTGCGTGTAACATGCTCCCGTGTGTCTGTATGCCTGTTCTGCAGGGGGAATGTTAATGTTTGTTGCTGGGCTTCAGCCCAAAAGAGAAACAAATAATGAGGTGAACGGAAATGAACTGGAGTCTGCCTTAACAGCTAATTAGCCCCGGTCGAATGGACGAAGAGGACACGCAATAGACACAAGCGAGCAACGGATGAGAAACTCAGGGACCTAGGCTAGGGAAAGGGCGTCGGGAGGGGAGTGTGTGTGGGCAGGGCTAGGAAGGCAATCTGAGAACCCGGGTGCCTGATCAAGCCAACAGGTCATTCCCACCCTTCTATGAAAATCTGCTTGGCTGGCATCTCTTACGGGCCGGCCTTCAGCTTACTAAAGGCCATGACACTTTTTGAAGGGTTAACAGTTACCTTCTTCACCTTCCCCGGGCAGTTCTTTCTTCTCTTTGTCAGGATGGCCCCTGTCCCTATTTCTCAGAGCCCTGGTCACAGCCCTCTTACTCACCAGCTGCTCAGACAAACCCAGTCTTGACCTGACTCTGCACTTCAGCATGTTTCCTGCTGCTCCTTAGGCTCTTCTCTTGGTCCCTGTGAAAGGTCAGATGCAGAAAGGTGAAGGCAGAAACAGACTGCTTGATGACAGGGTGAGGAAGAGCTGCTGCTTCATATCCTGTGTGTTTACTGATGTGCGAGCCAGTGGGAAAGGTGGTGGGAGAAAGTAATGTCAGAGACTGCTGCCGCAGGCCCTTCACCCGTCAGCAATGCCAGGGGTCCCTGTCTGTGGGACCCCCACAGGCCCAACTCACATGGACTCCAGAGACACCAGTTCAGCTCGAGAATGTGTCCCCCAAGTTGCCAAAGTATGCGTCCTACCCTCAGAGAACCTGGTCTCCCCAGGGCTTTCACAGCCTTTGTGAACACAAGGCCCGGAGTGCATGCTTCTCGAGCATGAATATGAGAATTCTTCACACAGAGCAAGTTCTCCTGATACTTGTATTCTCGAGTGTGTGTATGTGAGAGGGAACTTCATTTCTTTAACACCCTAATAAATCTAAAGAATGGTTGCTTCTTAGAAATTGTTACCCACAACACTTCTGGATTGTTGCTAGTCTTTCTTCTTCTTCTTTTTTTTTTTCGTTTGCCCCTGTAGGGCACAACCGTACCAGCCCAGGTTTTCTTTCTAATGCTGCTTTTCCTTTTTTGTTTGTTTGTTTGAGATGGACTCTCACTCTGTTGCCCAGGCTTGAGTGCTGTGGTACGATCTCAGCTCACTGCAACGTCTACCTCCTGGGTTCAAGTGATTCTCCTGCCTCAGCCTCCTCAGTAGCTGGGATTACAGGTGCGCATCACCATGCCCAGCTAATTTTCATGTTTTTAGTAGAGACAGGGTTTCCTCATATTGACCAGGCTGGTCTCAAACTCCTGATCTCAAGTGATTTACCCACCTCAGCCTCCTAAAGTGCTGGGATTACAGATGTGAGCCACTGCGCTCGGCATGCTCTTCCTTTGTAATTTTGTAGATTGGGCTATGGTGGGAGTTCTCAAACCTTAATAATAATTTTTTTAAAAATCTCACAAGAAGCTTGTTTTAAATGCAGATTCCTCAGGTTCTTCCCAAATCTATTGAATCAGAATTTCTGGAGTGGTACATGGGAATTGGCATTTTACCAATCCCTCTGCTCCCTCCTCCTCCCCAAAGATCCGAAGTCAGATGGTTCACAGAACACATACCATAAAACATGGTGCTGAAGGAGGCCTTGGGCCCTTGTCTTGGTTGCTCAGGCTGCTACAATGAAATACTGTAAACTGGATGGCTTATAAACAACAACAATTTAATTCTCACAGTTCTGGAGGCTGGAAGTGCACGATCAGATTTGGTGTCTGGTGAGTGCTCACTTTCTGTTTCCTAGAACAGTCCTTTCCCGCTGTGTCCTCACACAGTGAAAGGGGCAGATAAGCTCCCCTGGGCTGTTTTATAAGGCACTGATCTCACTCATGAGCCCTCCTCCTCATGACCTCATCACCTCCCAAAGGCCCCACCTCTTAATATCATCACCTTGGGGTTTAGATTTCAACACATGAGTTTTGGAGAGGCACAAACATTCAGACAATAGCAGTCCTTTTTTTTTTATGTTGAGTTTCAATGTTGTGAGTTGTTTATGTATTTTAGACATAAGACCTTTCTTAGATACGTGATTTTTAAATGTTTTCTTCCTGTCTGTAATGTGTCTTTTGATCCTTTTTCCAAGTTCTTTCACAAAACAAAAGTTTTTCATTTTGATGAGATGAAATTTATAAATTTTTCTTCTTATGGTTCATGCTTTTGGTTTCAAGTCTAAGAACTTTGCTTAGTCCTACACCACAATGATTTTTCTCACAATGATTTGACTCCATGATCCATTTTAAGTTAATTTTGATATTGGTTTAGGTCAAATTGCTCCAGTGCCAGGAATACAACTAACAAAGAATGCAAAGGACCTCTTCAAGGAGAGCTACAAACCACTGCTCAAAGAAATAAGAGAGGACACAAACAGATGGAGAAACATTCCATGCTCATGGTTAGGAAGAATTAATATCGTGAAAATGGCCATACTGCCCAAAGTAATTTATAGATTCAATGCTATCCCCATCAAGCTACCAATGACCTTCTTCACAGAACTGAAAAAAACCACTTTAAACTTAATATGGAACCAAAAGAGAGCCCACATAGCCAAGTCAATTTTAAGCAAAAAGAACAAAGATGGAGGCATCACACTACCTGACTTCAAACTATACTACAAGGCTACAGTAATCAAAACAGCATGGTACTGGTACCAAAGCAGAGACATAGATCAATGGAACAGAACAGAGGCCTCAGACACAACACAACACATCTACAACCATCTGATCTTTGACAAACCTGACAAAAACAAGCAATGGGGAAAGGATTTCCTGTTTAATAAATGGTGTTGGGAAAACTGGCTAGCCATGTGCAGAAAGCAGAAACTGGACCCCTTCCTGACATCTTACACTAAAATTAACTCCAGATGGATTAAAGACTTAAACATAAGACCTAACACCATAAAACCCTAGAAGAAAACCTAGGCAAAACCATTCAGGACATAGGCGTAGGAAAGGACTTCATGACTAAAACACCAAAAGCATTGGCAACAAAAGCCAAAATGGACAAATGGGACCTAATTAAACTCCAGAGCTTCTGCACAGCAAAAGAAACAGTCATTAGAGTGAATCAGCAAAGAACAGAATGGGAAAAAATTTTTGCAATCTACCCATCTGACAAAGGGGTAATATCCAGAATCTACAAAGAACTAAAACAGATTTACAAGAAAAAAAAACAACAAACAAGCCCATTCAAAAGTGGGCAAAGGATATGAACAGACACTTTACAAAAGAAGACATACATGAGGCCAAAAAACATATGAAAAAATGCTCATCATCACTGGTCATTAGAGAAATCCAAATCAAAACTACATTGAGATACCATCTCACACCAGTTAGAATGGCGATCATTAAAAAATCTGGAGACAACAGATGCTGGAGAGAATGTGGAGAAATAGGAACACTTTCACACTGTTGGTGGGAGTGTAAATTAGTTCAACCATTGTGGAAAACAGTGTGGCGATTCCTCAAGGACCTAGAAATAGAAATTCCATTTGACCCAGCAATCCCATCACTGGGTATATATCCAGAGGATTATAAATCGTTCTATTATAAGGACACATGCACATGAATGTTCATTGCAGCACTGTTTACAATAGCAAAGACCTGGAACCAACCCAAATGCCCATCAATGATAGACTGGACAGGGAAAATGTGGCACATATACACCATGGAATACTATGCAGCTATCAAAAACGATGAGTTCGTGTACTTTGTGGGGACATGGATGAACCTGGAAACCATCATTCTCAGCAAACTGACACAAGAACAGAAAATCAAACACCGCATGTTCTCACTCATAGGCGGGTGTTGAACGCTGAGAACACATGGACACAGGGAGGGGAGCATCACACACTGGGGTCTGTTGGGGGGAAATGGGGGAGGGACAGCGAGGGGTGGGGAGCTGGGGAGAGATAGCATGTGGAGAAATGCCAGATATAGGTAATGGGGAGGAAGGCAGCAAACCACATTGCCATGTGTGTACCTATGCAACAATCTTGCATGTTCTTCACATGTACCCCAAAATTTAAAATGCAATTAAAAAAAAATTAAACAAGTCAAAAAATGAAAAGCACACACACAAAAAAGCAAAGAGATATTTTGGAGGATTAAATATAAAGTTCTACACTTTGGTTAAATTAAAAATGAACCATTCTAGTACAGGGTGGAAAATATCTTGCTTGACACATTTCAAGTAAAAGAAAACCACACAAAACAAATGGTTTTAGTTAACCACATGCTCAGTATGAATCACCAGAGCCTGCCAAAGAAATCTAAAGTAATCATAGCAGCATTAATGGATGTATGAAGTTTAGAATAAAATCGATAACAATCCCCTTGTTCTCTCAGTTTGTTGGACCACATCTGCTGGTGGTTTCAACACAAGGGGCTACATTTAAAGAACACTGAGAAGCTGGAATGAATCCAGAGGAAAGTGGCTGGAATCCTATAGTTTGAAAGATATGTGGGAAACACTGGATTTCAGATGAAGAGATTCAGGTATAAGTTTTGAAATTGCCACTTCCTCGCCAGATGACATTGGGCAAAATCTACTCTCCACTTCTACCCAAAGCTGCATTTCGTCTCTCTAAACCTTATCTTCCTCCTGGGCAAAGAGGGAGATCTGTACTTGAATTTCTGAGGCCTTTCCAGCTTCAAAGTTTGAAAGGTACAAAATTACGTCATCTAAGACCAGTTGAAGGAATCAGGGGAGTTGTAG